TACGTTAGAGTATGGCAGTGCTTTCCGAACAATGTCCCATTTGATTTCATAGTCTTTCCCTTCGCCCTTTAAGTCCCATATATGTTTGCTTGGCTCTGTTTGCGCCCTCTTGCTCTCGGATCTGAATGACTGATTGTGGTTCGCCAGTCTCGCCTTGAAGGTTGTGGACGTCAGCCCGACGTATGCCTCCTTCCTGCCTTCGCTCGTGACGCCCCTCGTCCTTTAAGTCCCATATATGTTTACTTAGCTCTGTTTGCGCCCTCTTGCTCTCGGATCTGAATGACTGCTTGTGGTTCGCCAGTCTCGCCTTGAAGGTTGTGGATGTCAGCCCGACGTATGCCTCCTTCCTGCCTTCGCTCGTGACGGCGGCCTGGTACACGATGTTCTTGCTGAGGCACTCCCCGTTCAGCGGGCATTCGGCATTGCGGGGGCAACTGCATGTTCTACCCCCGACGTCGTCCTCTTGTTTTACCTTCCGTTTGTTGATTGACTGGATCGTTGCCTTCATGTTCGGCATGCAGCTGTAGGATAACTTTACTGTGTTCCGGTTGAGCACTTTGTGAAGCTTATGTTTCTTGGGGAAGCATTTGTCTATTAGCTGAAGGAATTTCTTTCCAATGTTGGTACGTACGTTCTTGTTGTATTGCGGGTTGTACCGTGTCACCTCCCTTTTTCTAGTCCAGAAGAGAGATATGCCAAAGTTTGTTTAACTGATATTCTGAATTTATTGCATGTTTATAGCTCTACAGAGATGTATCGAGCACTGTGAATTGTGATAGAAGACGATTTCATTGGATATACTAGCTCCTATTTTTATAGTTGAGCACTCTCTGACGTCGCACTTCAAAATGGAAAGAGTGAACTTTGAATATTCGACGAAGAATATCCCAGTAGCATCGAGAACAACATACCTCAAGCGCCTGATCGGGAAAACGGAAATGTTCATCAAAAGGATTAGATGGAGATCATTCTTCTTTCTGAATCCGGAGCTGAACAAAGACAAGGCGGAGAAGGAGGAAACGTACGGATTTAACTCGCGGTAAACACCACCAGTCATCCCGGAACTGAAAGAATTCGAAGACAATTTGGTGAGTCTGATTCAAAACGTCCAATTTGAGAAGACCACTAGCCAGTTCCAACGCAAATTTAACGAAGACATAAATACGATTAGGAACGATGATAAGCTTACCGTCAAGGCTGATAAGACTACAAATTATTACAAGATGGAAAAAGATGACTATGTAAATCTTGTCAGGGCGAATGTCACCAAAACATACAAAAAAACCAAATGCTTCCCCAAGGAGCATAAGCTTCACAAAGTGCTCAACCGGAACACAGTAAAGTTATCCTACAGCTGCATGCCGAACATGAAGGCAACGATCCAGTCAATCAACAAAAGGAAGGTAAAACAAGAGGACGACGTCGGGGGTAGAACATGCAGTTGCCCCCGCAATGCCGAATGCCCGCTGAACGGGGAGTGCCTCAGCAAGAACATCGTGTACCAGGCCGCCGTCACGAGCGAAGGCAGGAAGGAGGCATACGTCTGGCTGACATCCACAACCTTCAAGGCGAGACTGGCGAACCACAAGCAGTCATTCAGATCCGAGAGCAAGAGGGCGCAAACAAAGCTAAGTAAACATATATGGGACTTAAAGGACGAGGGGAAAGACTATGAAATCAAATGGGACATTGTTCTGAAAGCACTGCCATACTCTAACGTAAACAAGAGATGCAATTTGTGTATAGCAGAGAAGTACATAATCATATGTAGGCCAGATCTAGGTACACTGAATAAGAGAAGCGAAATTGTCTCCAAGTGCAGGCATCGAGACAGATGTGTACTTCAGTGACGTAAACGCTTACTAACTTCAATGACGTAACGCGCGTAACGCGTGCGAGCGCTTGATTCGAAATAAGGTAAGATGCTACTTGTATTCTATTTTTCGTCATTCTGCTGATGAGCGCCTTATGGTACGAAACAGTCTGTCCAGAGGAGAGATATGCCAAAGTTTGTTTAACTCATATTCTGAATTTATTGCTTATATATATATATATATATATATATATATATATATATATATATATATATATATATATATATATATATATATATATATATATATATATATATATATATATATATATATATATATATATATATATATATATATATATATATATATGCAATAAATTCAGAATATTCTCTTTCTGAACAGACTGTTTCGTACCATAAGGCACTCATCAGCAGAATATATATATATTTGTTTTAAGTAATTACTAATCAATTTCAGCATTCATTCCGAGCGTATGTTTTTTCATTAAAACCCGAAACCTTGATTATCAGCTTCTATGATTACACATGTGTTGACTGTTTACGATAATTCATTACTTATCACTACAAATAAAAAAAGGGATTACACATTAATAAGTATATTAACACTTCCTGGTTCCTTTCTCTTGAATTTGATGTTAATTAAAGTCATCAACCTCTACACAAAACATACATACACATAGCATTAAATGTTGCCACGTTTTTCCCCAAGGCTATGTGAAACACGCCATGGGCTTCAGCTGGTTGGTGGGTTGGAGGGTGGACAGTTTACTCCGGGTGGATTATACGGTTGCATGCGACGTGTGTATCACAGCATTGCCAGTGAGTTTTTATGGAATACCTGCAGTTTGCGACACTGGTACGCATGCGTCTAATTTACATATTAGATCACGCCCCATTGCACGGCAAAATTCGCGGTTGTACGGTTCGTGGAACCGCCTTGGGTTGTACCACTTTGTACTTTTTTTTCATGTAATTAGCCAATGTATCATCTCTGGCCCTTCTTCAGACGATTTTAAAGTTGGCACTGAAACCGAGGGCCCAGGGTTCTCTTTTGGCTCTCAATTGGTGCAATGGATTAGCACTGTGAGCTGGTTTTCAATGCTAAATTGAAATTCGTCTACCAAGGTGATTTGTGGTCACATTGTGTGAATACAGTACGCGCGTAACACACAGTTTACGTCCTCACGAAGCGTAGACAAATGCGCGCTTCATAAACACGAAAAAAATGGAGGGAGGACTTTTGTCAAATTTCCAATTTTGATAATTAGGAAATCAAATACAATTTTTAACAATCTGTTAAATCGTTCTTTGAGACAAATATAAAAAGGTGAGAAAAACTCAAAATCGAAAAATTATCTGTTAGTTTTTTTGTTGCACTTCTTGAGAACAGCAAAGATATTCCTATATACAATTATTCATTACAGAACCAGCCGTTAGAAACACCGTTGCTGCAGTACATCAGCCAGACAACAAACACAATTCATTGGTATTCATTCTATGAGATGAGGAATTTGGTCTATTCTGTTTATGCAAAGAACAGGTAGTGTTCCTCATTATTTTTTTCGGGGAGGGGTATGGGGCGGGCAATTCATCCTGAACTACCTTCATTTAATCAAGAACTACCTTCAGGCACAAAAAAGTACCCCAAAATCACAAAAACTACCAGTCTTCCCGTTTGAATTAATAACATAACTACTTCACAACACACATCTGCGTAAACTATATATCGTATTACAAAAATGGAAATATCTGAACAGCATGTAATCACATAATTCAGTACGCATGTAAGTACTATAGTATTGGTGTTTAATATAAAGACATTGTTAAAATCAATTTAACCATTTTTTATCCATTCAGTATCTCGTAATTTAACTTTCTGCCATTGGTTTTCCTAATAATTTGATACCTAGTTTTTGTTTACACTAGCTAAACCAGAAATGTTAATGAGATGGAGTGTCCTGTTGTCCATTTTACAGCTGTGTAGCCATTCAGACTGTCAAAGTATAGTTTCGTTTTCATTCAAAATATTGAAAAAAGGGAATTGCACAGTGATGTTTATTTTGATATCATGTATGCATAGTACTGGTATCGGAAAGCTTCAACATCACAGGGCCTGTTATTATTAAAATATATAGGCAAATGCATGCTTTTGTCTCGGTTTTGCGTTAACTTTGTTGTGAAGCGACACACAATATTTGACAATATGACTGTATTTAATCGACACCATGCATGTATGCCATATGCATGGTAAAACAAGACAAGATATTTCTTTGTTTTCTATATTTGTTCAAATTCTCTCTGACGAAAGAGCCTTTTTAATTGCTTGGGTATAAAAGTAGTGAATTCTATCTCCTGTAAAATTTCATATTTTTTTGGCAATTGATCAAACATTTCCATGAGGTTTTTTTCAGAGTTGTAACCATGTCATTTTTTTCCTAGTCAAGTCAAGTCCGAAGTCAAATTTTAACCTTTAAATTTTAAACACCTTTTTCGTATCTAAAGAGTCTAAAAACGCATTTTGGTATAATATTTTCGAACTTGTTTCATCATGTTGAATTTTTGAAGGACGTCTGACAAAATGTTCTTCGATCGGAACGTTTTCGTTTATTGCATGATGTGAATTATTTTTGCTTTATTGCGGATTGGGGATAGCAGCCGTTTTCCAGTCGTTGAAACCCTAGTTACATTCAGCACGCTAAAACCACTCAATGTGTACATGTAGCGGTAGCCTATGGTCTCTCTGGAATGACCGCTCTATAACAACTGATGGTACTCAGACTACGCACGGCACAAACTTCACCTCGCATGCACGAGGTCCAGTATGATACGTTGTCCATAATACATGCATAGTACTAGTCATGTAAATGTACATGACGTGTGGCAGGCTCAGGATGCCGAACTATTGCGTGCTGGTTGCTGATTCGCTATCTGCATTCTTTTCAACCGATTATGCTAGTGCGCACAAACGCCCAGAGGTTTGTGGGTTTTTTTGTAAGAAACGTGTTAATGTCAGTAAGTCAAATTTATTCGAGTCAAGTCAAGTCTCAAGTCATTTTTTCCCAAGTCTAGTCAAGCCTCAAGTCACAAAAATAGCGACTCCAGTCCGACTCAATTCCGAGTCAGCGACTCCAGCAAACAACACTGTTTTTTTTGTCCCGCAAGACCTTGTTGTCTACTCTCACAGTTTTTCTTTCGTGCGTTCCACGATTTTTACTTCGTAGATCCTTTTATCCAGGTTGCCCATGTTGATGTAATCCTGTTAAATATTGGGAAAAAAAACATACATTTCATGAGTTGCATTTACATATTAATAGCGAAAGCAAGGTGCCCATCATGCTATGAGAGGAATTTGTATATGTAGGACATTTCATATCCGCCCTCTGGTGACCTTCGAGACGTCATGACATTTGTATATACTTCATTTATAGATATTCATAAGATTTGTCATTCAAAACACCTTTTTTAAAAATCCGAGTCTAAAAGTTGGTTCTAAATTCGTGTCAGGTACAGAATTTTCAGATGTGGAGGGCATTTTATGTCTAACCTCTGTTAACATTCGAGAGGTTAAAGAACTTTAAATACCGTATCTGTTGCTTTTTATCATATTTATTCTTCAAACCCACATTTTTCACGGCCCATTTGTCAATGGTGCAAAATACATATCTATATATATAAGAGAGAGTTTAACTCGGCCTCCGAGACGATGTTTGCTCCTGAAAGGATCTGAGACCGCGGACTCCCGCGGCGCCAAAATCGCTCCACGTCCGTGGAAAAATGCGGAGGGTGTATTCCGCCGGGTCGGACACTTCGGGTCGTCCTGATTTTCCCGTACGGATCGGCGATCCGTTTCGGCGATTTTTCGTGACTGCGTTTTGCGCAGGAATTTGCCGTCGTGTGTGCTTTCACGTTGACTGCCTGGCCGCCCCCTGTGCTGGCTTTTCTGCGAGCTTAGACTGTGCGAGGTCAGCGAGGTCAACGTAGGGGTTCCGTTTACTTGTTATACTCGGCCGTTCTGCAAAAGCGTTCACCAAACGGTAGTATGGGGTGGCCTTGGTAAAATATTTTTGGTCCATGGTGCGTGGCCACCAAGTGTCCCTATTCTTTCATATGCTTTGCTTGCCGCCCCTGCGCTGAGTGCAACGAATACTCAGAATGACTACACATTAGTATGCCTTGCGCGGTCTGACCTACACATTTAGTATGCCTTGCGCGGTCTGACCAATCGAAAGTCTACACTGCGTAGTATTTCCGGGCTATGCGTAAAACCGTCGATGGCAACGCGTACTGCAGCCTGCTCCACACCCTGGAAACGAGGTTGAGTCTACGATGATCATTGCTCGCTATTTGAAGCACAAGCATGTGACGAGAGTGCTCTGTCGCTTCCATCGTGTGTACGTGTTAATAGAGATCCATGCTTCCACCAAGGCTGAGCTATGTGAGTTTGCTGTCCTCCACGTATAATGCAGTGTCGGGTTATAATTTCGGGGACCTGTTTGGCATGCTTCAACTATCGCGATCTTAAACGCAGTCACACAAAACATCGACGAAAAAGTGTCCGACCCGGTGGAAGACACCCTCCACATTTTTCCACGGACGTGGAGCCATTTTGGCGTCGGTGGGAGACCGCGGTCTTGCCGGATTCTTTCTGGACTGAGCAAACATTTCTCGGAGGCCGAGTAAAACTTGCTAGATGGTTGAACCAACTTGAATAAAAGTTGAATCGACTTTTTCCTCGCAGACGGTCTCGCAAATTGTAAGAAGTTCAAGTTTACGTCTGTTGAAGAGTCCAATACTGAAACTTAATTATGCTCTTCCTCCCTGATTCAGACCGTTTGTAATTTTATGGTAACACTCAACATTTTCATTTCAAATGACACCTTCACGTTTTATTGCATTATGATGTATTGTCAAAACTGTACAATCAGCCTTCGCCTGTGTACTACAGTAACCTTTCACTACGTTTTCCAAATGCGACTGCCTCACAAATTGCCAATTTAGCATACCAACAGGAACATTTACAGACAGTTGCCATGGTACATGATAATCATGTGCGTAAATGGACGGGGGACGGGGAACCCCCCCCCCCCCCCATTTGAAAGTGGGGGACATTGTTTGGTCCCCATCCCCCACTTCTTCTTCCCCGAATAAAAAAATGTAGCCTACAATAATGATTCTATTGCTCAGAATACATGTAGCTGATTCAATTACTCCAAACTCAAAACTTTAAAAGATGATATTTTGCTCAAATTGGTTTTAGTGGTCAGAAATTGCCTCAGATTACACCACAGAAATTTCTTTTCTATAACTGCATGTCTCCCCAATCATGCCCCAACTATATTTTCCATTTACATTTAACTCCCCACATTTTCATCCCCAACACTACGCCCTACCCGATCTATGATCGGATAAATCAGCTTGTATATATACATTAATATTGCAGCTATTATTCTATACCTATTTGTGGATTCACGCCCAAAGATTTACACATGTCATTGTCACATGTACACATGTCATTGACCTTATTGACCTAATGAAGGTCGCCGTAGGTCAGGTATGAAATTTTCCCACACCTGAAAATGATCTTCATGGAATAAAGATATATGACCTAGACTTCGGTCATAGGAAAGTGGCGTTTTCAAAAATGATAATCAGTCGAGTATGTAAAGGTAATTGGCCTTTCAAAGGTCACCAGAGGACAGATATGGAATGCTTCTACATCTAAAAAAATTCTTCATGGCATAAAGACCTTACCTGTGAAGTTTCATGACTTAGTCAAAAAGAATACAATTTGGTCCCGTTGCAGCCCACAATGTAGGCTTAGTAACGGTTAAATATTTCGTTTCTGGTACAGCTATACTATTGCTTTTGTTTACTAAAAAGAAATTAAGTGTCTTAAATTTGTCCAAGATCCATTGCAGCATGCATATCTGTTTGGTATCCTGCTTTGTGGATTTTTACATCTCTTCTCATGACCAAAGAGTTAGAATTTTGGTTCCAGAACACGTCTTATTTTTTCTTTGGCAAATCACTTCACTCCACTTGCCTGTCTTTACTCACGAGAATTAATGGCTACTGTTATGAGCTTAGGAGTAAAACCTACAGAGCAGATTTTGACCTCATTTAGGGAGAAACATGTATATACATGTTTATGTATATTTATAGTCACTGTCATTTTATGCAACTCTAAAAGGAGAAACACGCCGACCTTATGTGCCTCCGCTGGGTCGGGGCAGTACATTTTTGTTTCTAACATTAAAGTTGCAGGCCCTCCGCTTTAGCAGTGTTATATCGAGCCAAGTCCCGGTGTAACTGAGAGAAACATCTAATCTTAATACTGATATGAAATACTTTGCAGTCTGTGTTTCACTAACCTGATCTTCAGACACCATGTCGTCCAACTGCTGATACAGACTCTGAAAGCTGGGTCGTTCCTTGGGAACCTCCTTCCAACAGCTGCACATCATTTTGTACCTGAAATATGTGATAATCGGTTAAGAAAAAAACACAATATATTTCAACCTCCATGTCTACTCTCAACTTCCTATCTTCAAGGGAGAATCACATAAACATGAATTATTTCGAGCGTTCCATGCGCGGTTCTACGGGGGGGGGGGGGGGGGGGGGGGGCTGGGGGGGGGGGCTGTAGCCCCCCAAAATTTTGTCTAGCCCCCCAAAATAAATTCCGTAAAAACAAAATTGCATTAGCAAAAAGAAGGATTGTGATCTACATGCGAACGGTCTCCTCCTAAAGAAGAAATAGCCGTGACAAGGGTGCATTAGTTAATATAGTGTGAATGATTTCAGAATTTTTTGGCGCTCCCCATTGAAAATATGGCATGAGTGTATGGCATATGGCTAAGTGTCTGGAAAAAATAACCGGTCAACATTTCAGCACGTCTCCCTGAAAAAAATCTGGATCCACCGTGCTAGCCCCCCTAAAATATTGGTTCTAGAACCACGCCTGGAGCGTTCCGCACAATTCGACAATACTTACAGCGTTTTCTTGCATTGTCGAGGCTTCGGCATACGATAGCCCTGCTGTAGTTTGCTTATCATTGTCGTTGCTGTCAACAGCGGATACGGCCGCGCACCTGTCGGAAATAGAGATGCATTTAAACGTTGGACTGTAGAGACTCAACACGGTATACGTTTTCAACCTACATGGTTTGAAATCTTAATTGTGACAAATGAAATCGTTCCACAAACATGTGTGTAAACACCTTCAATAATGGACCTCATATTGTCACCCTTTTGTTAATACTCAAACCTTTTAGAGAGACCTCCCTTATCCATTTCACACATCCACCCAAAGTGGACCTACCGCCAACTGTAGAACCTATGTCCTGTAACTCACCAAGTGTCACAATCTCCCACAGCAGAATCCCGAAAGACCATACGTCACTCTTTGTTGTGTACACGTCCACAAGAATGGATTCCAACGCCATCCAGCGCATGGGAAGAGGACCCTGAAAACAGGTACATCTTTTCGTGACTGTTGTCAGTTCTCAAGAGCTAGGCTGATATTATTAATAAGCTAAATAGGTGATATGGCATATTAGACATTAACGATGTCTTGTTTGGACGGAGCTATATAAAAAAAAAACTGAATTCGTCTGGTACCTGTGATTGTCGTTGGTAGATAAGGGTGTTCATGACGTCACGGGCCAGTCCAAAGTCAGACACTTTACACACCAGGTCATCTCCCACCAACACGTTACGAGCGGCAAGGTCACGATGCACATACTGAAAAAAGAAGAAACTTATCAAATAGAAATATAAATCAATCAACTTATTATACTAACCAATAGGTTAGTGTATGGAAAATAAGAAGCAAATACAGAGAGTATGATTGTTTCTGTTCTCATTGGATCAGTCTTGACGCCCTTGTGTCCTCTGGTTCCCTTTTTCACTAAAAGACTACCTGTCTGTTGTGACTTTGGTTACCCTTGTCACTGACAAAGTAGTCTGAGACCAGCTTTACTAGATTTGCCCAGTATTAGGTTTAAGAGTAGTGCACTCCTTGTAACGGGACGCGAAGAGACAAGCACGGGGACGCTTGGACCTGTACACTGATAGCCCACCCTCTGAACACTGCTGTAGAGGAAAATGCGATACTTGACCTAATTTGCAATCATCCATGCTCGAGCATGGAGTGATTGGCACAAATATTGTTGTCTGTACCTCTTCGGATTGGAGTTCCTTCAAGTGTGCATTGGGCGTGGGTTACTTGATCGGACTACTGTGTTTCTAAAATCGATATTACAATGTCCACGTGTATCAATTACCTTTTGAGAGGATATGTAAGCCATTCCATTTGCGACATCCCTGGCAAACTTGACCAATGTCCTAGCCAGTGATTTGCTCACGCCGGGTAGGTTGGAGTATTCTGCCCCAGGGTCCTTCTCTCGATACTCACTCAGAACTTTCTTCAGGTCACCCTTAGCAAGGTACTCAACAATAACGTACACCGGATCTAGAATAAATCACAGAAATGGCTCGTCAGCCACACTTATTGTTTGTACCTGCCTGTAATCTTATGCTCTTCTAGAGCGCGAGACTAAGGCCAGAACTGTTCAGAGAGAATCACTTCAATACTTTGAAAGGGAACACTACAATGAAAACTGGATTGGGATCTATAATCCTACAACGGTGTTATCGAATGATGAGTTTCGTCTTGTCTTTTCGTCTTGTCTCTAGTTTTTGTCGTGCGGAATCGGACTTCCGTAAGAGTGATTTCTCATTCAAACTGTGATATACCTTTTTCTGCACAATATCCCAGCAGCTTGACCACGTTTGGATGAGAGCCGACTGTTTTCATCACTTGCAACTCGGCCACAAGCTCGTTCTTGGCGTGTTTGTCGGCGCCCTCTATAAATTGATGAAGAGGTTAATAAAAAAAGAGGTTTCCGATCTCAGCCTTATGATCGCAGACCCCAGAATTACATGAAAGCCAATATGCCTCAAATAGAACCACTAGAAGCCTTGGCCTCATGTCACAGGATTGTATCTTTCTGAAAGAGAAGGGAACTACCTTGGGTCGATTTACACAAAACAGGGACCAAGGGACCAAAGCCAAAGGCAATCTAAGGTTTGGAAGATCCAGTGGAAAGACGCTGTCTACACATACTAACGAAGTAAGGAGGCTTATACCATTGATTAGCAGTTTGTACAAGAAGAAAACACACTCTTCCGATAAACCCATTGTCAGTTAAATTATTGCAAAGATCGACTTTTGGTGCGCTTGTCCCTCTGAATCAGTGTTAAAGAAGCTATAGACAGCATGTAGCGTAGAATAATAATAATAATAATTTATAATAAAATATATAAAAAATATAATACAGTGAGTATACAGTGTTTAAACGTCGGTGAAGGGCTTTCCCATAGACTTGTGCACGAACCTAAAATTAATGTCACCTTACCAAATTTTACCTTTTATAAGATGGAATTTGGCGTCGGGGTTATAAATCAAATTAGGTTTTGCCCTTCACCGACGTTTAAACACTGTTAATCAGTTTATAACATCCCGGGTGAAATTTGGAAAAAAAATCACTTGAGTGGGACTCAAACTCACGACCTCCTGCTTTCTAGTGCAGATGTCCAACTTTCACACAGGAGGGAAACACACTGAGTATACAGTGTTTAAACGTCGGTGAAGGGCAAAACCTAATTTGAAGGGCAAAAACCTAATTTGATTTTTCACCCCGATGCAAAATTCCATCTTATAATAGTTTATGCGGTACCCGCTACTATGTACATCAGGTTTGAAACAGCCAATCGATCCCGTTAGCTCGGTGGTCGAGTGGTAAGACATCTGCACTAGAAAGCAGGAGGTCGTGGGTTCAAGTCCCACCCGAGTGATTTTTCCAACTTTAACTCGGGAGGTAACACACTGAGCATACAGTGTTAAAACGTCGGTGAAGGGCAAAACCTAATTTCAAAGTTTACCTTATCCTTTCTACACGAAATTCGGCTTTTTTACTTATTGGACCACGATGAATCAATCTAGTTGGTTGCGACAATAAACGTACTTGTCCTAAGGGTCGTTTTCACAAAAAAAGGTTACAGTTATATGTCGCCTTAATGTGGACGCAGTTAGCAAAATCTGTCGCCCTATTATAGCATTCAGACCACCACCATCACCAGACTAAATGTAGTCAGGAAGGACGGATAATACTTACACATAGGGAAAGTATTACAGATATACCGTACACGTTTAAGTCAATGAATGGAAATTTGATGCTGTAATGAATCAGATGTGTTTCATCAACTTTTTTTATTACATCTCTGTGATTGTCTTCAAGACAAATCACTTCTCAATGAGTATACATAAAATTCTCTCCACTGCGCAGAGCCCCGATTTGATGAATGACATTTGACAACAAACCTTTCACAGTCTTGACGGCAACCTTAGTTTCTTTTCCGGCTTCCTCGATTCCAAGTGCCTTTCCCAAAAGCACTCTGCCGAACTCTCCTCGTCCCAGCTCATTCTCGATCACCACGAGATCTCGCGAGAAAGAGAGTTCCGGTCCTACGTTGCCGTACGCCACGTCGTTTGATGCCTCAACGCCGTCTTCAATGGAAATACTTTCGCATACCACTGCTGAGGCAATTGGTTCCAGAGGAATATCTGAAACACATTTGTTAGTGTTACTAGAATCCAAGATTTAAATTTAGGCAGGCACCTTGCAAGTACTTGTAATCCTCATCTAGTCATACCACACCAAAAATAATTCGATTTTCTAATCCAATGAACATGTATACACTACAAAAGGGTTGAATAAATCACTGTTGGGCAATGTAATTTACCCAGCTTTGATATGAAATTACCTCATATTGGGTTGAATGGGAAGAATTTGCCTAAGAGTGTAGGGTTTTTGTTGCAGCATTGTGTAGGTATTTTTTGTAGTGTACCATTCCCTGTCGCGGTCGGATTCGTCCCTTATCCGAATTTGAATTAGACAGTATCATAACATATATTCGAAAAAATGACGCAGAAGTTGTTAGGTCAAATCTGACTAAGATTCAGAGTCCAATCAGACAAGTGAATTTAAAGGGAGTTCAAGATTTACCAACCTTCATATTGCACAATATACCGGAATAGGTTTTTGTGCCACTTTTTTTATTTTTGTAGTTTATCCTCTGCTTTTGTTTTGACTGGATTCGCTCTTTGATTCTTACCGTTCGGATGATGGGGATCTAGTCCAGGAGACGACTGATCAGTGACAGGCAGTGGTGGGAGCTCACTGTCTGCTCCTTGTGATGCAACGTCATTTCTGAAAGAGGAATTATGTTACATCAACAACAATTGTCGTCTGCATCCATTTGTCACTATAGCGCTTGAAAGTGCCCTTTTCATTACGCACTGTAGCACCAGAAACAGCCATAGCAATTACATTGATTTTTCAGTGAACAAACTCAAATAGTGCTGTGCCGTTAATGTGCTAATAGGTCATACTTATACAAGTAAATGTTATTGTTTTGTGTTTCAGTTTATAGAGGGCGCAATAACAGAAATACCTGCCTGTTATCAACAAATTATTTTATGCCTGTTATCAACAAGTTATTGTTTTATGATTCAAATCAAGAGGCTGCGATAACAGGCATATGTATGGAAAAGAAAAAGATTACTTTGAAAGTCAGGCAGGCATATCACTTTTAAAAGAAACAATACATCTTTGCCTTCACATTAATATTAGTCTCTTTCTGAATGTAGCCTTTTGTTCACTTACAGGTCATCTTTTACGCCTGTTTCTGTCCGTTGTTGTTTATGACGACGCCTCCACACGACAAAAGCGAGACCACCAACCACGGCCACAATGACAATGACTGCCACTACAGATACAACAATGATGCCTACAAGTGAAGAACCTGCAGGAGCAAGAGGAACTTTTCTCAGTTTTTGTAATAAATGTCAGAACATTTCGCCTGTTTAATCCTTTGTACATCTTGTGGACTCACTCAAAACCTTGTCTCCCCCAGTCGCCCCCCCCCCCCCCACTGAGATTTGAGTTTCTAAAAAAATTATCACTGATCTAAATCTTAATAGTCGCGAATGATCCACATGATGTCCACTGAGAAACGACCCTTCGACCGGCGACCGCGGACCAGTAAGCTGACAACCGGCGTGACATATCGCATACTGGTAATCTAAAATGCGTATTAACACCCACTGCACTGCTCGCTCACACCACGGAACACGTATTATAGACAGGTGGTCCGTGGGTCACACAGTTTCAGTCAGCGATATCACGCGAAACGGCCACGCACAAACTTTTTCCTCCATTCATATAAGCTAAATAATAATAATAGACCAATTAAAATTCCTTGAAGTCAGTGGCGTAGCCTCGGCGGGGCGTGGGGGGGGGGGACCCCATGAAACCTTGTCGCCCCCCCCCCCAGTCGCCCCCCACTGAGATGTTGAGTTTCAAAAAAAATTATCATTGATCTACATGACGCCATGGGCGTCAACCCTTGGGGGACATGGGGACTGGTCCCCCCCCCCACTTTTTGAAGGGTGGTGGACACGATATCAAATGCCCCCCCCCAGATTTTTGAACTCGTGTCTCATTTACAGGGCCCTATTATGTACTACAATGTATCTCTTTTGCTTAGAAAATATTGGTTAAAGTGGTCAGAAATTGCCTCACAGAGCATTGAGAATCCAAAAAAATTCGGGGGCCCTTAAGCGGGCCCCGAACCCCACGCCAATAGCTCAGGATTCTAGTAGCTGATTCAATGACTCCAACCTCGAAAACAATGTTCAAAATTTTTAGCTGAGAAAACCTCAAAAATTATGTTTAAATTATTATCTTTTGTGCTAAGATAATTATTGGTTAAAGTGGTAAGAAATTGCCTCAGATCACACCACAGAGCATCGAGAATCCAATTTTTTCGGGGCCCTTAAGCGGGCCCCGAACCCCACGCCTATAGCTCAGAATACCGATAGCTGATTCAATGACTCCAACCTCGTAAACTATGTTCAGATAACTATCTTTCGCTAAGAAAATATTAAATAAAGCATTGACGAAAGTGGTAAGAAATTGCTTCAGATCACACAAAAGAACATCTAGAATCCAATTTTTTTTCGGGGCCCTTAAGCGGGCCCCGAACCCCCACGCCGTAAGGACTTGGCGCTTCGCGCTCGCATCAGTTCTGATCAAGGTATGTCCCCCGCCCCACTTTTGAGAAGCGATTGACGCCCCTACATGACGCCCCCCCCCCATGAAATGTTCCAGCCTCCCCAGCGCCCCCCCCCTCCATGAAAAATTCCTTGCTACGCCACTGCTACTAACTATATTAAACGTTGATTACAGTAGGTTAAGGGCTGCACATTTGGAGGTAAATCTGATGAAAAATAAAAATTAAAAAACGCAAAGCTGTGGTTTCCGTTACGGTTCTGTGCCATTGAAAACTGTATGTTCCACATTGCAATTGCAATTGCAATTAAGTGAAGGAATCTGGTTTAATTCAGTTGGAATGTTGCAAAACTTACCACTCCTCTTCGAGGCATCTGTGGGCCTAGTACTCGTGCTTTCACTTACACCTGTCGTCCGAAGCAATACTGTGATCAAGTAATGAAATTCAGGAAGAAGATTCCAATCTGAACTATGGTGTTTTTTTTTAATTATAGAAACATTCTGACATAGATTGACAATGCCAAAGATTTCTGGAGAGGTTTTATGGAAACAATTGTTAAAAACGAAATGAATGTCTTATAGACTTAGATGTTACAGCCAAGACGAATTAATTAATGTGAAAAAAAGTGGAAATAGTAAATCACATCCACATACGGATGCTCATAAGAAATACATTGTTACTGTTTGCAATTAAAAGATACAAAATTATTACTTTATTTGATTTATTCAATTACAATCGACGAAAACTCACCTGGGCACAGCGGTTCTTCAAGTTGCCGTGACCCAGTTCCAATCGCATTTGTGACATTACAGCTGACCTCTGTGCAGTAATTGTCATCGACATAAAATGCCAGGGTTTTACCAGTAGGCGCGCTAGGCTTGGTGCCATTTAGAATGATGTAATACTCAATGTGTCTGAGTGGATTGCCATCGGCGTCACAAGTGATGATTCCGTTCCTGTATGTCAGGGATGTTACCACCGGAACAACTGTGAGAAAAAAAAGAATTGCACACATTGAATTGATTAAAGTCCTGAACATTAAACCCCAAAAGGCCCGGGGCGGAATCCAACCCCCCCCCCCAACATTATCCGCGATAGCCTCTAACAAAATAGTGACCCCAGCTGTTATGACTTTTTAGCCTCGAGCATTGCGCATCTTTTGATACCAAAAACAGAAAATCGGACCACGGGTTGCTGCGTAGCGAAAAAATTTCCAGCGGTACGCACCGTGAGAACTGAATTTTCGCATATACGTCGTGTACACAGAGCATAATTGCCATTCATACATATGAATAATTAATTAGCCATAATTCCAAAACCCTTTGACCTATAGTCATGAAATGTCTTGGGTATGTTTAGGAAGAGTTGCTCTATGCATGTGCTGAGTTTAAAGAAATTTCGCACTCGATGGCCGAGATCTTAGGGGGAGTGGAATCCCCCCCCCCCAGCTGAGAGACGGTCAAAATAACCCGGCCTCCTTAGGGTTAAGCCTTGTCTGTAATAAATGCATATTTTCAGAATAAAAGGAGGCATGATGTATTGATATTTTTGTAAGGTTGTGGATCGGATAATGCACATTTCGGTTGAAGGTAATGTACATTTGGTAAACATAGCAACATCTACCACGTTATTATGAAATACCTTTCTTGCCTGTAAGTGAAAAATAGTCTACATACAATGAAATCATGGCAATTCGAATGCTAGGGTTTTAATTAATCCGAAGGTTCATTTATCCGAAGGTTTGATAATCCGAATTAAGAATAAGGTTAATCAGTCCGCAGTTTCAATAGTCCGAAACGAAAATAAGGTTCAATAGTCCGAAGGTTTATTATTCCGAATTGACAATAAGGTTTGATAGTCCGAGAAGATTATAAAGTCCTATAGACCGAATCGACAATAGGTCCGAAAGTCCAAATCAAAAGTAAGGTCCGATAGTCCAACTGACGAACCGTATTGCCCATTCGGACTATCGAACCTTATTCTCAATTCGGACTATCGAACCCTACCGTATATTCGGACTATCGAACCTTATTGTCGATTCAGACTATCGAACCCTACCGTCTGTCGAACCCTATCGTCTATTCGGACTATCGAACCTTCCGATTAATTAACCTTATTCTATTTTTTGACTAATGGGCCCTTCGGACTATCGAACCTGTGGACTACTGAAACTTCGGACTATTGAATCTTCAGACTATAGGGCTGCAACCGTCCTCAGGACCAGGACCTGAATAAACCATGATATGAAAAGTGTATAGTGCCCACATTTGATGAATGGAGATTTGACATAAAAAAACACATGTTTTGCTTAAATGTTTTTCAAGCTTTTCTTTGGAAAAAAGATGGGCTGATAATGATATTAATGGATTAGGCTGCGTCAAGCTTTTTGCAAAAGAAAAAAAAACACTCATGTTGAGGTGGTGAGTCGAGACTTTACATAAAACAAATGTTTGAATTAAATGTCTCCAAGCTGTTGTTTGGGAACAAAAAGATGGGCTGGTAATGATACTAATGGATCAGGCTGCATCAGCTTTTTCTAAAGGAAAAAATCCTAAACAGTCATCTCGACAGTAATAGAAATAACTATTTTCCTGAAGTCCTTGGAATAAAATAAATGTCCACTGACTTTTTTCTATAGTTTGTATTTCTGAAAAACCACAACAACTTTATTTGATCTTTCTAAAAAAAAAACAAGGAAATGGTTCATATCAGTATCTTAAATCAGACTTAAATCGATCTGGTTTCTGAGAATTTGGGCTTTTTAAGTCAATTTTAGGGTTTTTTTCTGCTGGTAGAAAAGTTAACATTTAAAAGCTAATTATATGACTTGATTTCTTTAATTACAATCGACGAAAACTTACCTGGGCAAAGCGGTTCTTCAAGTTTCCGTGACCCAGTTCCAATCGCATTTGTGACATTACAGCTGACCTCTGTGCAGTTATTGTCATCGACATTAAATGCCAGGGTTTTACCCGTAGGCGCGCTAGGCTTGGTGCCATTTAGAATGAGGTTATACTCAATGTGTTGGAATGGATTGGCATCTGCGTCACAAGTGATGATTCCGTCCCTGTATTTCAGGGATGTTACCACCGGAGAAACTGTAAAAAGAAAAGTAAATTTATTACTTTAATTACAATCTCTCAACATTTAAGCCTTCTCTGTAACGGCCAATAATTATTTTCACACTGATCGAAAAAAAAGAGCCTGATGTCTTGATCCCTGTAACATATTTCTCGAAAGCCTTTGAGCAAGATACTACTGCGATTCAAGCATAATGCCGTCTGACATTTTGGATTTATATATGTTCATTTTGGTTGAAGGTAATATACAACATATGCAAACATAAAAAAAATTAAAATTATAATAATAATAATAATAATAATAATAATAATATCTAAATTCTTGTATAGCGCCAAATCCGTCGAAATTGACGCTCAAGGCGCTTCACAGAAATAAAAATGAACAGGTTAAAATTTAAGAATAAACTAAAACTTATACAGTCAAGACAAAACCTTTAAAATAACTATGAAATAATATGGTTGATAAAAGACAGCCAAATTGTCAAGATAGGCAATAAGAATAAGACAAACGGGCAATTAAAAATTGACGCACAAGGCGCTTTACATAAATACTGATATACCAGTTAAATTTTAAAATACAAGAGGTGTCCAAATAAAATTGTCTAAAACAGGCAGATATAAACGGACAGACACAGAACATCAATCAAGTAAACAGAGAGATGACCATGACAGAGAAAATTAACAGCACGACAGCCATTACGTATATGGGTCATTCCATGTCAGACCAACGCACTTTTTTACCTCATGTCTTCCGATTTTAATAAAAATTGCTGTGCTTGTAGGTCTTAATGAGCAATGAATACACACCAATTTTTAGCCCGATCCGACCGACCATGTGGTCAGGGCAGAAGCCAAAAGAAAATGGAATTTTTAGAGTAAAATACCACCCTTTTGGTATAAATATGTCAAAACTATGGCAATTTTCATCGAATATATGTGAATTTGGTTTTAAAATAATGAGGATTGCATGCTAAAATCACTTCTTTTGTCACGTGACCTTTAATATGCTATTGTGACCTTTGACCCAATTTTTGTAATAATGTATCATTCCGAAATTCAATGAAATAAAAATAACTTGCAAGAGCATGTCTTCCTCTATCAGAATCTACTAAAAATCAGTTGGGGTCTTCAAAATTTACAACTTTTTGACTACTTTTGTACAGTTGGTAGGTTACAAATGAGTCAAATATAGACTTTACATAAGAAATACACCAACACAACTTACTATTCTGTTTCTTAAGTTACTAAAATTAATCCAGACTTTTATGTATAAAGTACAAAGCCAGGAAAAACAACTTTATGACTACTTTTGTACAGTTGGTAGGTTACAAATGAGTCAAATATAGACTTTACATAAGAAATACACCAACACAACTTACTATTCTGTTTCTTAAGTTACTAAAATTAATCCAGATTTGTATGTATAAAGTACAAAGCCAGGAAAAACAAAATTCTACCTTCTGATTCCAAAGAAACTGTCTAATCAGAATATCTGGACTCGGAAGTGTGCTAACCACTAACAGTAACCAGGCCTTCACCCAGTACAGCGGACTCACGTCCAGGTGAAATTCATCTCAAAGGAACAAAATGCCAAGTCTGTGAGAGTCATTAAAGTTCAAGAAGCACAGTGATGAATGAGTAAAGGTAACTTTGATTGTAATATTAAGTATTGTCTTCAAGCAAACTTGAATCCTAGACCCTGATTAGTCCATCTATAGCAACAACTGTGTGATTTTATATAATATTGCACAGCTATATTGCACCCCAGATATTAAAAATGTACGTGTACATATGTTGTGTTATTTCCTGCAGAACGCAATCCTGCAATTTCCTGCAATACACTACATGTATGCACGTACATCTTCACCGCGTGTACGCATTTGGTATCAAGTTTGCTTGAAGATAAATTGGTTATAAATCCCACTTGCGCTCGTGGAACACGGAATTATGTAGTGCATCGAGTGGCATATGGGTCACAGCAGCATTGCATTATTTCATACTCCAAGCGAGCTCGTGGGATAACTAATTATCAGTGGCACCCAGGAAGGGGGGGGGGGGCTTGAACCCACCCCCAACATTGTCAATTTGTTTGTTTGATTATAGGCTAGTTTTTGTTGGTCCAATCTTTTACAGAAATTTGAACAAAAAAACCGATTTATGACCCCCCCCCCACCAAAAGCCAAATCCTGGGTGCACCACTGCTGATAATTTACACTATGAGTCTGATTAGACCTCATCAGCCCTCAGAATGAGAAATTCACAAACCAAGATATATTTTAGTAACTTTAGAAACAGAATAGTAAGTTGTGTTGGTGTATTTCTTATGTAAAGTCTATATTTGACTCATTTGTAACCTACCAACTGTACAAAAGTAGTCATAAAGTTGTACATTTTGAAGACCCCAACTGATTTTTAGTAGATTCTGATAGAGGAAGACATGCTCTAGGAAGTTATTTTTATTTCGTTGATTTTCGGAATGATACATTATTTCAAAAATTGGGTCAAAGGTCACGACAGCATATTAAAGGTCACGTGACCTACTTTTCACAAAATTTAATTTTGACAAAAGAAGTGATTTTAGCATGCAATCCTCATTATTTTAAAACCAAATTCACATATATTCGATGAAAATTGCCATAGTTTTGACATATTTATACCAAAAGGGTGGTATTTTTCTCTAAAAATGCCATTTTTTGTGGCTAATGCCCTGACCACATGGTCGGTCGGATCGGGCTGAAACTTGGTGTGTATTCATTGCTCATTAGGACCTACAAGCACAGCAATTTTTATCAAAATCGGAAGACATGAGGTAAAAAAGTGCGTTGGTCTGACATGGAATGACCCATATCAAATAAAAAAAGTGACGCTCAAGGCGCTTCATTACAGAACTACAAATAACCAGTTACAATTAAATTGAAGTCTTAGAAATAATGTGAAATATGTTGTAGACCGAATTTGTATTGGTGTGTATCAATTTCTAATGATGGTTGGCCGACCATCAACGGAAAATGACTTTGTTTTTTAAATATCGTCCCAATCCTCCAAATTTAGTCCGCATTTTTTTTGCAATTAGTTACACATTCGTGAACGGGTACAAAGCAGATGACCTGACATCTCCCAGACGTCTGTAAATTCCTCTTTTTCGTCTGAAATAGATTCAGAGTGTGGGTTTTGATTGTTATTTGGCAAAGTCGACTCACCTCTGGTGACTAATGTCTGCGCCCGTTAGTAGAACCTGGGCCTGCTGCGTGGTGTAGTCCGATGGTGGTGCACCGCGACTATGTCGGAACGGCCCGTCGGATTACATACGATCCGTCGAACAACAGTTCGGCTTTATTCCCAGTGAAAATGGCAATAATAACGTTCACAAAGACTGACAGTTATGTACATCTGACGAAGACGAAATAGACGATGATATTTACGAATGACGATGACGAAAATGTACACAGAGGAAAACGATGAAAGCGGATGAAAACTTGGTGAACGCGAAATAGTAACTTGACTGAACAGTGATAAAAACAAGATGGCGATATTTACATGTGCGTTTGTTAGTTGGAGTTTTCATGTCTCCAAGTGCAACGCACTTTGACCTTTGGCCACAGCAAAGGTATGGGCGGCCAAACGGACAAAATTAGAAAGTGTTTTACGTGTCGCTACAGTAGCTCCCCCGTAGATCGTGAGCTAACAAAACGATCGATGAAAAGGCTGTGTCTCTCCAAGTAGCACAAACTTCAACCATGATCATATTGCAGTAATTTGGTTGGCCAATGTACATGGCGTCCAGATCGCGTTGTTCGTTGCTGTGATTGAGTTCCGTCACTAGGCAATTTGGGCGACGCTACTGATGTGTCTGGCACGGGAGGTCGAGTTGGCTTGGCAATAGGCTTGTCAATCACAATAGGCGGATTGTGATCCGGTGCTGTTACCATGTCTTTGTCGGAGTATGCTACTTTGAGGCGGTCGATACCTACGGTGTCCCTTCTGCCATTGAGTTCCAGAACAAAGTACTTGTCTGCTCTTTTGAGGACTCGGAAAGGGCCATCGTAAGGGGGTTGCAGTGGTTTTCTGACGGCATCGTGCCTGACGAAAACGTGGGTGCAAGTGGCGAGCTCGGGGTGAATTTGAGATTTTCTCAGTCGAGTTCTTGTAGGCGACGGTCGCGTGTCTTGCATGAGACGTTTCAGGCGATGGACGTAGTTGCTTGGGTCAAGATCCCTGTCTGGTTTTGCAGTCTCTACGAACTGACCTGGCAATCTGATGGTTGTACCAAGGACCAATTCTACTGCTGAACACCCGAGATCTGCTTTTACTGCTGTGCGTATGCCTAGCAGGACGAGGGGAAGTGTCTCCGTCCACTGCTGGTTGGAATGTGCTTTCAACGATGCCTTTAGCTGTCTGTGTAACCGCTCGACCAGTCCGTTAGCAGATGGATGATACGCTGTGGTTCGTATTCGTGTGGTGCCAAGCATGTCAGTGAGTGCCTTGAAGAGGGCAGACTCGAATTGGCGACCTCTGTCGGTAGTTATGGTTGACGGGGCTCCGAATCTTGACACCCAGTGGTTAACAAATGCGCGAGCTACAGTCTCTGCTGTGATGTCCGGAATTGGCACTGCCTCAGGCCATCGTGTGAATCTGTCCACAGCGGTCAACAGGTAGGATTGACCATTCGATGGAGGAAGTGGGCCTACCAGATCGATGTGTACGTGATCAAACCTGGCGTCCGGTGTGGAGAACGTCTGGAAAGATGTCTTGGTGTGCCGGTGAACTTTACAGCGCTGACACTGGTGACAAGTTTTGGCCCATGCACGTACATCCTTGTTTATGCCCGGCCACACAAACCGTGCAGTTAACAACTGCTGTGTTGTTCGGATCCCAGGATGGGACAAACCATGCAGACCGTCGAAAACTGTCCGACGAAAGTGGGTTGGGATTTAGGGTCGTGGAGTTCCTGTGGACATGTCACATGTGATCATGCCAGTCGACGTGGGTAGGGGTACCTCTGTCAGCTTGAGTGAAGTATCAGACAAATGAAGCAGTTCGTTGTCTGTCTTCTGAGCTTCAGCAATGGCGGGAAAGTCGATGACTGCCGAAACCTCCAAGGCTCCAATTGCTAAGCGAGAAAGTGCGTCAGCCGCCGCGTTGTTATTCCCACTGATGTGTCTCAAATCAGATGTGAACTGCGAGACATAATCAAGCTGGCGTATCTCCCTTGGTGAATGGCGATCCGGCTTGGAGCGCAGGGCATAGGTCAGTGGTTTATGATCAGTGTAGACGCAGAATGTGCGACCCTCAAGCATGTGCCTGAAGTGCTTGATGGAAAGGTAGATCGCCAAGAGTTCTCTCCCGAAGGTGCTATACCGACTTTCAGCTGGTTGCAACCGTTTGGAGTAGAAGGAGAGTGGTTGCCATACCCCTCGCACTTGCTGTTGTAGCACGCTACCTATGCCTACATCAGATGCATCAGTAATGAGGCAGACTGGTGCGTCGAGGCTGGGGTGGACTAGCAGTGTGGCTTCAGCTAACTGGCGTTTCACTTTGCTGAAAGCAGTACGCTGAGTGTCATCGAAGGCGATTGTCGCATTCTTCCTGGCCTTGGTCTGCAGCATATCCGTGAGTGGTTGTATCACATCGGCGCAGTTAGGCAGAAAACGCCTGTAGAAGTTAACGAATCCCAAGAATTCACGTAACTTGCGGAGTGACGTAGGCTCAGGGAAATCGTTGACGATCTGTAGCTTCTCTGGTAAGGGGCATATGCCATGTTCGTCGACAGAATGACCTAAGAAGGTAAGTGACGAAACTCCGAACTGGCACTTGCTAACATTGATGACGATACCGTATTCAGTCAGGCGATCGAAAAGGGTCCGGAGATGTATTTCGTGCTCAGCAGCTGACGAACTTGCAACGAGTAGATCGTCGATGTATGCGTAGACGAACGGCAAACCTCTGATGACCTCATCAATAAAGCGTTGAAAAGTTTGTGCCGCATTCCTCAGGCCAAATGGCATGCGGACAAACTCGTATAGGCCGAATGGTGTTGTGATCGCCGTCTTGTGGATGTCACTGGGTTCTACCGGGATCTGATGATACGCGCGGATGAGATCTATTTTGGAGAAAATGCTGTTCCCGTGTAGTGCGCATGCGAAATCTTGTAGATGAGGTATCGGGTAGCGGTCAGGTATGGTGTTTCGATTGAGTGCACGGTAGTCACCGCATGGGCGCCAGTCTCCAGGGGATTTCTTCGGCACCATGTGAAGTGGTGAAGACCAGCTGCTGCTTGACTGCCGGACGATACCCAACTCGCACATGTGGTCGAATTCTGACTTTGCGATGGGTAATCGGTCTGGGGCGAGGCGACGTGGTTGCGCTGCTACTGGTGGACCGACTGTATCGATGTGATGAGTTACCTTATGTTTTACATCAGTGTTCTGATACGTAGGACGACACAAGGTAGGATAATCAGTCAACAGTGTTTCAAATTGTGAGGACAATGGCTTCACTAACACCGGGCTGAGACTTGGCTGCTTCGAAAGAACTCCATTGACTACCAGGCTGGTTATGGAGTCTACGAGTCTGTGGTTCTTGACGTCCACCAAGAGACCAAAATGTTGCAGAAAATCGGCACCAAGAATGGCTACTGGCAAATTTGCCACTACAAATACCCATCGAAAAACACGGCGTAATCCAATGTCTAAGGTGAGAGAACGCTCCCCATAGGTTGAAATTGGTGACATATTTACCGCTTGAAGCTTGGTAGATGAAGTTGAGTGATGTGTATTCGTATCTCGCCCGGGAAAAACACTCACTTCGGCACCAGTATCGACAAGGAAACGTGTCCCTGAACACTTGTCCTTTACGAAGAAAAGGCGACTGGTTGTGGGTGCGCCAGCAGGACTTGTCGCCCCTAGTTGCCGGCCTCCGCGTTTCCCTGGGGGTTGGGGTTGGTCTTGAAGGAACATGGTTGAACACACTTCCGTGCCTTTGATCCATAGCGCCAATGGTACCAGCAGTCGGTTGGGTCACGAGAAGGGCTGCGACTGCGAGACTGGCGGTTGTGATTGGAGGTATCTCGGCTACGTGACCGTTGTCGTGTTTGACGGCTTAGTTGGCCAGTGAGAGCTTGGACTTGCTCAGTAAGCTGGTTGATCCTTGTCTCGAGGGTCTGGAAGTTCGCGACTGTATGGGCAGGTTCAGGGCTGGAAACTGCAGCGGCATGAGTGTTCACTGTAGACACTGTTGGTACCGATACCTCGACGATTTTGTCGGCGATATCGGCCAGCTGTTCGATGTTCACCGCAGTTGATGTGGAGGCAAGAATCCCTTGGATTGTCGTGGGAAGACGTTGCAAAAACAGTTGCTTGAGAATGTTGTCCTCCAGGGTGTTCTCGCCTAGAAGTTGTCGCATACGTCGCAACAGCTGAGACGGTTTTCGGTCCCCCAACTCTTCTGCGATTAGCAACTGGTGTAGGCGTTTTTGCTCCGAGGCGGATGTCCGCTTGATTAATTCCTTATTTAGGGAGTTGTAGCGATCGTGAGTGGGTGGGGAAACCAGTAAATCACGCACTTCTTGAGCGATGTCCGGCTGGAGCGAACTGACTACGTAGGCAAATTTTGTGTCCTGCACTGTGATGTGGCGGGTGAGAAACTGTGCCTCGACTTGGGCAAACCAAAGTGTGGGGTCATTCGGCCAAAATGGCGGCAGTTTCAGACTCACTGCTGCCACGGGCACGGCGGGCGCTAATTCAACAGGAACGGGCTTGAGTTCCACGGGAGGGTCCGACTCGGCCATCACGTCAGGGTCACCAATTTGTGGGTTTTGATTGTTATCGACTCACCTCTGGTGACTAATGTCTGCGCCCGTTAGTAGAACCTGGGCCTGCTGCGTGGTGTAGTCCGATGGTGGTGCACCGCGACTATGTCGGAACGGCCCGTCGGATTACATACGATCCGTCGAACAACAGTTCGGCTTTATTCCCAGTGAAAATGGCAATAATAACGTTCACAAAGACTGACAGTTATGTACATCTGACGAAGACGAAATAGACGATGATATTTACGAATGACGATGACGAAAATGTACACAGAGGAAAACGATGAAAGCGGATGAAAACTTGGTGAACGCGAAATAGTAACTTGACTGAACAGTGATAAAAACAAGATGGCGATATTTACATGTGCGTTTGTTAGTTGGAGTTTTCATGTCTCCAAGTGCAACGCACTTTGACCTTTGGCCACAGCAAAGGTATGGGCGGCCAAACGGACAAAATTAGAAAGTGTTTTACGTGTCGCTACAAGAGAATATAAGTAGAGCGCCTGTTTCTTTTTTTCTGGCATACATGATCACAATCTTTGGACAAGTCAGTTTAAACAATATTTGCTTTTTTGTTGATATCTTTAGAATCATACACCACACTTAAGAGATTTTCATTAGCTCTGATTTAAACGTCTATGTGTAGGTGATATTAGTTTACCAAACGTTAAGATGTGCTTTCTTACTATTTGTATGCATATACAAAGTAATCAACTTTTTTAGAACGCTATTTCAGGTAATAGAGCAATTACAATATCAACAGAAATAACTTACACAGAACATTGAGTGTAATGAATTCAGACTGTGTGGTTTGAGGTCCTATTGTGCGACATTCTATCCTGCCCCCATCATCATTTCGTGTTGGGATGAATGGGCTGTATGTACTCTGTGTATCTGTTGCCTCACCACCAGGTGGAATCGTCTCGGTGTCAGGTGTAAGAGGATTGCCGCCGTTAAACCAGTCTATAGACACCCGTGGTATTGCTCCCAGTGCTGTGCAGGTGAGTGTGACGTCAGTATCCTCTGTCACAGTCACCATTGCACCTGAGGATTTGTCTTTACCATCAACAGCTATGGTGAGACTGGTGGCAGGAGCTGCATGAATGGAAAATATTTAAAGTCAACATCATTTGTTCTTAACATTTCTTACACATTCTGCCGTCCTTAGCAATACATTACCAACACCATTAAAATGTAAACCGAGAATAAGCATAGAGAAAATTGTGATCGAGTAATGAAAGTCCGAAAGAAAATTGCAATTTCAAACTCATTTTTTGACTTATAGAAACATTCTGACGTAGAATGACAATGCCATGTAGGCGCTAGGCTTGGTGCCATTCAGAATGATGTGATAATTAATGGTACTGATTGGTTTGGCATCGGCTTTACAAGTGATGGTTCCGTCCCTGTATTTCAGGGATGTTACTAGAGGAGCAACTGTGCAAAAAAGGAATTGCACACATTCAATTTAATTACAATTCATGAACATTTAAGACTTCTCTGTAGTGAATGCATATTTTTAGAATAAAAAAGGGGCAGGATGTCTCGATATTTCTCGGAGATCTTTAAAAAAGATACTACAATGTTAAAAATGCCCGTAAATTTACGGACTCCGTAAAGTGAAATATTCCGTATTTTCGGCGTAATTATACGGATCTTTCC